ACTTGATTGTGGGAGTCGAAGTTAAGGGGATTGAAAGTGATAAAAGATTTTTGTTCGGGGGGGTTTGTTTTTAGCGGTGGGGAAGGGGAGGAACAAAAAAAAAGGGGGGGGGGGGGGGGGGGGGGGGGGGGTGGGCAAAAAACCAAAAAAAATCCATGCAAGCGAAAATGCCAAGAAAGAAAATTCATGCAAAGGAGAAGGTAAAGAAAAAAAATTCATGCAGAAGGAAGGTCCAATTGTGACTTTTTCAGAAAGTCTGAGTTTCAGAAATCAAGAATATTACCAGGCACAATATGAATAAACAAAAATCACTTTCTTCTTATGAAAGGAGACAATTAGAACCTTGTTTTCGTTTTAAATTGAAGCTAGTGTACCTACAACATACACTCTATACTGTATTATAATAAAAATAATGAAATAAAATTTGTAAGAAAATAAATATTAGAATTTAGTAGCTTTGTAAATATTCTATAAAATTATTTGTGCCCACAAAAAGATACACCTACGCTATTGGTCACTTTTGAAGCCAATGACAAGTTAGTGTTTTCGATCCTAGCCACCAGTATTTAAACAGCCTGCTCCGCTCTTTGTACCTAAGACTTTACCATAGTAGCAACTGACGAGGAACCCTATAGTTCCGAAACTGCAGTCTTGCGTAATAATTCATAGCAGTCGCATAGACGACTGTTAAGCAAAAACTTAAGTAAATACCTACGAAGGAACAACAAGACATCGTGCTCTAGTTCAAAGACTCACTTATGTTAAGAAAAACTAAATTGACTGTGTGAGCGCTAAGAGAATTATCTTGACTGACGCACGGCATATTTCTCCAAACTTGGTGCAGCTTTAGTTTTTAAGCTACTAGTGTACAACTCAAATCTGAAGATCGCACTATCCGTGGAAATTCAAAATCCTGCAAACCACACTATAGAGCTGGGCCCAGAGTCATACTGACTTGGCAGGAAATAATCACATTCACGGACAAAGAAACTTGCATGCATGCATATAGTTATTCAGATACCGTCATTTCGGAGAAAACCAAAAAAACTAAAATCTTTATTCAGCCGTAATAAACAGAGTTCAAAGGATATAAAACACTTTACAACTGCATCTGAAATCAAATCCTATCAGGACACCTACAGAAGCATAAACCACAGGAAATGATTACTCAGTATGCATGTAACAAACCTACTTCATGACCTCTAAATATAAGACTTAGTGCGGAAAAAAACAAGATTTACTCAGTCAAAGTTTAGAATGCTACACGTCTTGCACTTTGTAGTGCTAGTAAACTTCGCGCGAGAGAAAAAAAAGAAAGAGAACCACTGTTCAAGCAGACTCTTAAGGTCATGTTTCACATTATCACGAGCTTATGAGTTGTGTTTGGCCTATCAACGCTTATTTCTTGCTGTTTTGGTGAATGGGTATGGCATCATTATGATGGGCTGTAGGAGAGGAATTCCAGAGGGCAGGGACTGAAAAAATGCAAAGGGAAGCCGTCCACTCCAAGTGGCTTCCTCCTCTCTGACTGTGTGTACATTTTCGAAAAGATTTTGCATTAAAGTGGGCTGTATCCTTTGATCTGTTGTAAGTGTAGAATAATTTATAAAGCACAAAAAATAGATAATGAATCAAGATTTCACTGTTCCAAAAAAAGCAATATTTGTCTATATTCGTGCAGAGGGGTTCACCTGAAAAAAAACTCCTGCATAAGCAGTAGGCGAAAAAAAAAATTCGTGCAAGCTGAAAATTCCCCACCCCCCCCCCCCCACCCCACCCCCCCCACCCTCCCTCCCCCCCCCCCGCCCCCCTTACTCTAACACTCACCATCCTTTCTTTTTTCTTCTCAACTATAGTTTCATTAGATACTTTATTTTGTAAGAATAGTGTAAATTTAGAT